TAAAAGTATAACTTTTTTTTCAAATGAAAGGTGGGCGGGCGGGAGGGACTGGGCTGGGCTTGACGGGCCAGGTAATGGGTTTGGGGGCAAATTCAAGTTCTCTTTTTAAGATTATTGGACTTGGGTGAGTCAATTATCGGGTCTATCAAGTCTTAAGCCTATTTTTTTTCGACCGAGTAACGAAACCTGTGGGTAACCCGGCTTATGGACATCCCTAACTGTAACCATTGATGAAATGGAATTGAGCATAGCAGCTGTTTTGGGTACATTTAAACTTTCGACACAACAATTATTTCATATCTCAACTCTGACACAAGATTATCTTGAAAAATATTAAAAATGGGAAAGTATATAATACAATAGAAAAAAAAAATTTGCTCAACAATAAAAATATGAAATCATGAACTCAATTAATAAACAATTATGAACAGTGGAATCAAGAATTAAATTTGACATGTCTCATAGATCAATTAAGATCAAACATAACATTATACTCGGTTCATCTTGATGACATTACAAGTCACGCTTGAACATATAAATTCATACTCATATCGAACAATCATTTCTTGTAAGGCCATAATCAAACCGAACAATCATACCTCATAGGGCCACAATCATATTTTATAAATTATGTCTCAAACACACTTTGTACATATATTAATTAATCCTAAAATATTTTATCCAAAATCCAGATCAAATCAACAAAAATTATAGTATTAAATAGTAAATAGGAATACGAACTTGGAGACAAACAATAAATACTCTTTGTAAAGAAATTTAAAGACATGAACATATATATTGTATACTACTCCATACCTTAATCATTAATAACTTCAATAGATACAAAATTTGAAATACCACGAACAAGATTTGACTGTTTAATATTCGATCCCAAAATCTCATAATTCTTTTCTTTTTTTTTTCTTTTTTCCTTCCTCTCTTTTTCTTCCCTCCTCCCCGGTTTGCTGACTGCCTGGGAGTCTCTATTTATAGAATGGGGTTTGGCAGGAGAGCCTTGGGCTTCAAGTTCATTACACCACGGTTGATGGCATGTGGCGATGCAAGGAAGTCCATGCCTTGGTTTTTTCTTTTTAAATGTGACACTTTTCATCTTTTGTATTTATATGTGTCGTACACATATTTTTACACACATTTTATCATTCAAACACTTTGAATATTTATTAAATCTAATCAATATTATAGTTGTTTTCTTTGACTCGTAATTTTCACGCAAGAAACTCATATTTAAAGTATATTTGTTTATTTAAAATTTTTTAAAATAAATTTTAATTATTATAATTAATAATTTAATTAATATGATAGAGATTACCTTTAATACGGGTCGTCATAGTACAAGCACATGGCCTTCCTCCGAATATGATCACATTAGAAAACACAACCATGCATAGAATGAGAGGATACAGAAAACGCAACAATGGGGTGAGGAGCTACAATCACTTGGGCTATGCTCTTTGTCATCCCAATCCTCTCCACTGTAGAGGCGGCGCTAGCTCCAGCGATGGACCATGCTTCTGGGTATGTGGACATGGGCGGAGCAGGGTTTGAGGTTGGTCAGAGAGAGGGTGACAACGGAGAGCTTTAGGGTTTCAGGCTCTGAATAATAGATATTTCATTAACGTCGATATATACGTATCAGATGTGACACTCGTTAAATATTTGATAATACGTATCGAATACACACCAAATTTATTCAAAATTAAATAAAATAAATGAATATTTCGCGGATACTTCCATATGTATAGAAATATTGTGTAATTTTTAATTTAAATATTTATTTTTTCTTTCGATTTCATATAAAATGCAATACATCAACAATAAATCCATATTACTTTGAAGATACATGGATGTTTTCTAAGTATTATTCACTATCATATGTCCAAAGAGTATAAATGAGTTGATTACAATACAATCTTAACAACAAACACATCTAAGCAAATTATTTAGTTATATTTTGTTTCTTATTCCTTTAATTAATCACGTTCACTTTATAAATATGCTATAATGTGATACTGGTGGCTTTTTGAAAATAAATTTTTTTTAATGTTGTTTATTATTTTTAATTCATCACTAAAAACTATAGTTATTAAGTTATTACATAATAGTACAAATATATGATATACGCTTTAATAAATATATCTTAGCTATAATTGTATCTTATTTTTTGGAGTTTTGCCGTATTGTCGTATCCATATCGTATTATATCCGTATCTTATATCTATATTCGTACTTCCTAAGTTTCAAGAGAAGAAGATGAATAATTATTGAAATTTGAATTTCAAATTTTATGAAAAAAATCCTACTTCCATATCTCCGTTGAGTGTGAATCAAGGGTAACTGTGTCACAGTTAAGAAATTGATTTAAACGTTGAAGACCGCTTTCAACTTCATAGAAAGGGCATTTTGGACTTATTTTTTTAGTACTTACTAAAAAAATAATAATAGAACTCATTCTCAAAAATGTTTAAGTAATTAACTTAACTCATTATAAGTTCTCCAAAGGGACTGGCCCAACAGTTATCACATAAATCTATTCTCATATTGAACAAATACACCCCTCTGTCATACCACACTCTGTAGGGCTACAATCATATTTTGTAAAATATGTCTCAAGTACATTTCATACATGTATCACCGATCAATTCTAAAGTATTTAGCCCAAAATATAGGTTAACCCAATAACAATTTCAGAATGTCATACTAATCAAAAATATCAATAGAAATATAAGTGTTAGATGATCAAAAACACACTCTTTGCAAAAATATTTATAAGACAGAAATATATTATATATTATCACGTACCTCTGATTTACATCGAATCAAAATTGTGTGTTATATTAAAACGAAACAGAGTAATATTTTAAAATAATTATAAAATTAAGTCATTATAACTTATTTAAACCCAAGATAATTTTTGGAGTGAATAATGAAAAATATCGATCCTTGAATTTGATCCAAAAATATTTTAAAATGATCAAATTTAAGTGATTTGAGCCTATAGAATTTTTAAATCATAACTTAAAATTTTTACCTAAATTTTTTATCCCAAGATCAAACTGGACAAAATTTCTTTCTTTTTCCTGTCCTTTTTCTCCCTCCGTCTTCCTTCCTCCCTTTTTCTCTTATTTCTTACTCTACCTTTCTCCATAAAAAACTAGTAATTTATAGCCAAAGTTTGGCTTCTAACGTCACATAGATGATGGCACTTTGCTTGCATCACTTGAATAATTATTCATTTTTTGTCCATATGTTTTTTCTTTTAAGTCACTTGTCACATTCTTTTTTGTGTCCCCCACCCTTGTTTTTTTTTTAACACTTGTCTATTTAGTGTCACAAAAACAAGAACATTTATATTGAATCATTAAGAATTAACATATTGAATATGCGGAAGCATACCTGAATCCATAACAAAAGATTGAAATATCTGAGTCTGAAGCTT